TATGCCTGCACCAATGAGTCAATAAAGAGACAAAGCATCTAGTGACAGAGCTACCATTTTGTAGTAGGAGTACCATTAACAAAAATATGATTCTCATTTTAAGCTATAAATTGACCTAATAAAGAGTGGAATATTTCTCCCCCGAAAGGCAGGATAATTAAAATAAATACTCTTAACATTTCCCCTAATTTCTGAATTTCTCTCTGTCTGAAGGCTCTATTGTTTTTTCCTCTAAAATTTTATTGATTTACTAATTTAAATTTATTTCACAATGTTAATTTGAAATGTTTATTTCAATAGTAAAAACATTTTGCATGAAGTAAGAAACTTGTCCTAGCAACCAGCAGCTAGTGCCTGTTTGAAAGTAGAAAGTTAGTATTTGTTGAATGAATAAATTAAAGACTTAAAATCACTTTAGTTTTTTTCTAAATTTTTTTTATTTCTTGATATTAAAATATGTTTTCCATGGCTAAGAATACCATAATATTTCAAAAACGTATAATATATGCTGCATTTATTTGAAAATTAGGCTATTTCAATAAGTTGTTTATTCATTCTCATTTTTTTTTTCATTTAGTGAATAGACACGTGATACAGGATCCTTGTATGTCTGGTACTCTCTTTGCAGTACCAAACAATGCCACATCAACTTCCAGCAGTCAGTGTCTGATGAGTGCACTGAATATCTGCTTGCTCAGTAATGCCTTACTTCAGATCTAGGTGCTGTGCATTGTGGTTTTTTAATACTCATTTATCTCTAGTTATCCATCAGGCTGCTTAGGAGGTGACTTCATCACGTTTGGTGGAATTTCCCAAAGTAAGGTGAGATCAGGAGACAGGATATCTGGGTCTTAGTCTTAGATCTGCCTCCAAAATATTTCACGATCTTGGGAAATTTACACTCAGGGAAATTTACACTGAGCCTTTGATTCCCTATCTAAAATGAGAAATCCGTGTTGATCATTGTTTGCCAAAAGTTTTTATTTTCAGAACTCCATATTCAAGTGAATTTGTTAACAGAAAATTTCACCTCCATTGACAGGCTCCAGGTACCATAAGACTATGTGAACTAAAGTTAAAAAAAAACCCACTGCATTATGTTCACTAACAACGAATGGAGCTTTAAAAATGTGATAAATTTGTACAATGGAATATTATTAAGAAATAAAAAGAAACAAACTACTGATACATGCAACAACATGGACGAATCTCAAAAGCATGGTGAATAAGGGAAGCCATACACAGAAGAGGGTATGCGGTATGATTCCACTTATAATCAATTCTAGAAAATCAAAACTAAGATATAGTGAAAAAAAATCACATCAGTGGTTGCCAGGGGTTGGAGGTGGAGAAAGAGGTGGACTACAAAAGGGCACAAGGAAGGTTTTAGAGGTAATGAAATGGTTAGGTATCTTGATTGTGGTGCTGGTTCTGTGGGCATCTCTCCAAATTCATAAATTTTCACATTACAATTAGATGAAGTTTGTTGTACATAAATTATATCAGAATAAAATTGATTAAAATAACTGCATTAAATAATTTCAAAGGTCTCTAAAGTTTGGACACAGTGAATGGGATCTGGAATCAGTAAAACAAAAATGTAAATATTGGCTCTACGGTCGTGAGCAAATCATTGCACCTCTAGGAGTCTCAGTTTTCCTCTCTAATATGGGCTGATAATAGCAGTACTTCACAGAATTGTTGTTAGAATTTTAAGTGAAAATGGATGTATAGAGCTTAGCTCAGTACCCAGCATATAGTAAATGCTCAATAAATGTTAGCTGCATTTATAATTTTATAATTCCAAATAATTTAATAGACAATATAAAAAGTTCATATGTGGCATATCTGAATTCTAATTTTTATTCTACTACCAATTATGTATGACTTTAGACAAGTGTCAACTCCTTTTCTGGGCCTCAGTTTTCTCATTATTAACATGAGGGGAGTGGGTTATGGTGTCTTCCTTACCAACTTCCTAGAGATATTAGTGACATAAAATAAAATAAAAGATTTGAAAGTTTAGGAAAAAATGAAACACTCTACACAAACATAGGAAATGGATATGATACAATTTTCTCATGATTCTGACATTAAGTGGATTAAGAAAATTGTGCTTTCACAACACGGCTTGCTCCCAGTAAAGTTATAACATTTTTTAACATTTTTTATTGATTTATAATCGTTTTACAATGTTGTGTCAAATTCCAGTGTTCAGCACAATTTTTCAGTCATACATGGACATATACACAGTCATTGTCACTTTTTTCTCTGTGAGCTACCATAACATTTTGTGTATATTTCCCTGTGCTATACAGTATAATCTTGTTTATCTATTCTACAATTTTGAAATCCCAGTCTATCTCTTCCCACCCTCCACCCCCCTGGTAAACACAAGT